GTTTTTCCAACAACTTCTCAACAAGATTTTTCGCAACACGCTTGTAGCAAGCTTGTTAACAAGTTGTGACAATGTTGTTCCAACAACTTCTCAACAAGATTTTTCGCAACAGGCTTGTAGCAAGCTTGTTAACAAGTTGTGACAATGCTGTTGCAACAACTTCTCAACAAGATTTTTCGCAACAGGCTTGTAGCAAGCTTGTTAACAAGTTGTGACAATGTTTTCCCAACAACTTCTCAACAAGATTTTTCGCAAGAGGGTTGCAGCAAGCTTGTTAGCAAGTTGTGACAATGCTGTTCCAACAACTTCTCAACAACATTTTTCGCAACAGCCTTGTACCAAGCTTGTTAACAAGTTGTGACAATGTTTTTCCAACAACTTTTCAACAAGATTTTTCGCAACAGGGTTGTAGCAAGCTTGTTAACAAGTTGTGGCAATGTTTTCCAACAACTTCTCAACAAGATTTTTCGCAACAGGCTTGTAGCAAGCTTGTTAACAAGTTGTGACAATGTTTTTCCAACAACTTTTCAACAAGATTTTTGGCAACAGGTTTGTAGCAAGCTTGTTAACATGTTGTGACAATGCTGTTCCAACAACTTCTCAACAAGATTTTTGGCAACAGGGTTGTAGCAAGCTTGTTAACAAGTTGTGACAATGCTGTTCCAACAACTTCTCAACAAGATGTTTTTGCAACAGTCTTGTAGCAAGCTTGTTAACAAGTTGTGACAATGTTTTTCCAACAATTTTTCAACAAGATTTTTCGCAACAGGCTTGTAGCAAGCTTGTTAACAAGTTGTGACAATGTTTTCCAACAACTTCTCAAGAAGATTTTTGGCAAGAGGGTTGCAGCAAGCTTGTTAACAAGTTGTGACAATGCTGTTCCAACAACTTCTCAACAAGATTTTTCGCAACAGGCTTGTAGCAAGCTTGTTAACAAGTTGTGACAATGTTTTCCCAACAACTTCTCAACAATATTTTTCGCAAGAGGGTTGCAGCAAGCTTGTTAGCAAGTTGTGACAATGCTGTTCCAACAACTTCTCAACAAGATTTTTCGCAACAGGCTTGTAGCAAGCTTGTTAACAGGTTGTGACAATGTTTTTCCAACAACTTCTCAACAAGATTTTTCGCAACACGTTTGTAGCAAGCTTGTTAACAAGTTGTGACAATGTTGTTCCAACAACTTCTCAACAAAATTTTTCGCAACAGGCTTGTAGCAAGCTTGTTAACAAGTTGTGACAATGCTGTTCCAACAACTTCTCAACAAGATTTTTGGCAACAGGTTTGTAGCAAGCTTGTTAACATGTTGTGACAATGCTGTTCCAACAACTTCTCAACAAGATGTGTTTGCAATACTGTAAGTTTGTAGCGAGCTTGTTAACAAGTTGTGACAACGCTGTTCCAACAACTTCTCAACAAGATGTGTTTGCAATACTGTAAGTTTGTAGCAAGCTTGTTAACAAGTTGTGACAATGCTGTTCCAACAACTTCTCAACAAGATGTCGCCTCAACAGGCTTGTAGCAAGCTTGTTAACAGGTTGTGACAATGTTTTTCCAACAACTTCTCAACACGATTTTTCGCAACACGTTTGTAGCAAGCTTGTTAACAAGTTGTGACAATGTTTTCCCAACAACTTCTCAACAAGATTTTTCGCAACAGGGTTGTAGCAAGCTTGTTAACAAGTTGTGGCAATGCTGTTCCAACAACTTCTCAACAAGATGTCTCCGCAACAGGCTTGTAGCAAGCTTGTTAACAAGTTGTGACAATGCTGTTCCAACAACTCGTCAACAAGATGTGTTTGCAATAGGTTTGTAACAAGCTTGTTAACAAGTTGTGACAATGCTGTTCCAACAACTCGTCAACAAGATGTCTCCGCAACGGAGCCGTAACAAGCTTGTTAACAAGTTGTGACAATGCTGTTCCAACAACTTGTCAACAAGATGTTCCCTGAACAGACTTGTAGCAAGCTTGTTAACAAGTTGTCAAAATGCTGTTCCAACAACTTGTCAACAAGATGTGTTTGCAATAGGTTTGTAACAAGCTTGTTAACAAGTTGTGACAATGCTGTTCCAACAACCTGTCAACAAGATGTGTTTGCAATACTTAGGTTTGTAGAAAGCTTGTTAACAAGTTGTCACAATGATGCTCCGACAACTTTTCAACAAGATGTCTCCGCAACAGGCCTGTGGCAAGCTTGTTAACAAGTTGTGACAATGCTGTTCCAACAACTTGTCAACAAGATGTGTTTGCAATACTAGGTTTGTAGCAAGCTTGTTAACAAGTTGTGATAATGCTGTTCCAACAAGTTGTCAACAAGATTTGTTCGCAACAGGTTTACATGTAGCAAGGTTGTTAACAAGTTGTGACATTGCTGTTCCAACAACTTTTCAACAAGAAGTGTTTGCAATAGGTGTGTAGCAAGCTTGTTAACAAGTTCAGTAGTGTAACGTTTCTTTTTTGACCACTTGCCAGGGCAAGTTGGACATGAAAATTAGTTGCCCTGAATAAACTTCACTTGCCATCAAGGTATAGGGGGTATAAATTAAGGGAACAACATGTCGACCCGTTCTTCCACTGCTCTATATAGCTATGTTATACTGCCTCATATCTAGGAAAAAGAAAATGATCCACGAAAAACAAAATTTTAATCAAGTCCATGCACTATAAAAAATTTATATCCGACAATGAAAACATAAACTTAAAGATGTAGTGGCAACTTGCCCAATCGGGACAAGCAAGATAAAACGCTTACTTGCCCGTCATGATATTCACTTGCCCCATGCCAGCGGGCAAGTGTTAAGTGACACCGCTGCTGGAACCCGAAGAATAGTCGTACGGTTCTAAATTCGTCCAGTTTCTTGCGAGCATATATGTCTTAGGAGTATAGTCTTTAAATCGCAAATCCTGCGCTCACATTTTCGTTTTATTTAAACTGCGTTTCAATTTTTTCACGTCCTGCGACTTCTAGACATCCAGACTCAGTTCTCGCTATTTTTCAAAGAAACAATATCCGACCAGGATGACACAAACGAAAATCAAACGACATCCTACCTTTGCCTTGATAAAGGAATATTGACACAGTTAGCAGCAGCAACGGCAGCAAATGGAACATATCTTGCAACCAGAGGTGGGGCACGCTATGGTGAATTTACAGAGAAATAAAGAGATATTTACTAAAATAACTTTTCTTCAAAAAATTAGGTACAAGAAGCTTACGTTTTACAGCTTTGGGGTATATCCATTGTACCCCTCCCTCCCTCTTGTGTGCAAACAACAATAAAGAAGGACGTCATTTAAACAATAAGCATACGCAAAAACTGCAAAATTTCTAACTACCACCCCACCTTAGTTGCGTACATACTAAAGCCTGAAAACAGACCTGCTACGTATTCGCGTGCCCTAAAATTTGGGGGTCGAGGAAAGGGCGAAACGTAGCAACCTCGTTCCCAGGCCTTTCTGTCGACCGCGTAGGTCTGTTTTCAGGCTATACCAATCTCGTTCACCGAGCCTGCGATCCTCGGGAAGGAACGCGAGGCTCTGGGATAAATCCGTTTCAGGGAGGAATCTGATTGGCCGTTGAAATGGAATGCGTAGTTCAATCTTAGCCAGAATTCCTAGCTTCCAGCAACGGATTATCCCAGAGCCTCGCGTTCCTTCCCGAGGATCGCAGGCTCAGGGAACGAGATTAAGGCTATACTAAATGGATAATCTCTTACCTTAACAAAAGAATTAAGTCCCACTGAGACAGCGACTGCAGTAGTTGTACTGGAAATGTATGCCACACCAATCTGTCTGGAAAATATAGAATTACATTTCGGAAAATATAAAGCAAATTATATTTCCGTAATCTCTCCAAATCTGGTATTTTTTACTAATTTGTTATCCTTCCCAATTTTACTACACTATATATTGCATCGTATGTATTTTCTCTGGGTACGTAACTCCATGGAGTCAGTTTCCTCTAGTAGTAACAACAGACTACTGTAATTAGGGATGTCCTTAATTGCACTTGTTACGTACGTTAAGAGGACAGTTTAGAACTGATAGAGGGCGGGGTTCAGATTTCACTTCCCCCTACCGCAACCACAACCTCTCACTGGCTGATTGGTTAATCGGATATATCCAACGCATCTGATTGGTCAATACTCCCTTAACGGTAGCGGAAGTCAAATCTGAAATTTTGGGTTTAACTCTAAATTCCACAATACAATACTGCTAGTAAAGGTACGTTTACACGCTGCGATTTGTCGAGCCGATTTTGCTCGCTGTATGTAAACAACCTGTCGTGAGTACTCGCGTCAGCACATTGCGATTCACAAAATCGGGAGAAAAATCTGTAACAAAACCACAGATTTTCTCACGATTCAACGATTTTTCTTCCGTTGTAAAGTTGTTGAAAACTTTTCGCACGCAGAAAACTATAATATGAACAGACGAAAGAGCGGACAGCTTCAATTGAACGTTTAAATCGCTAAATGTGGAAGAAGGGGCATCGATTATTTACCAAAATCGGCCCAACAAATCGCAGCGTGTAAACGTAGCTTAAGGGTAATCGAGAATAGCATTTCAAAACGATTGTCTATCCTACTTACTTTCCTGTTATCGTTGATTTGGCATTTCTATTTGTGTAATTCACCAAAGCATTAAAAGACTGATTAATCCATTGCCAAAACACAACCTGTGGCACTGTTCTGAAAAGATGTATCAGTAAAACATGTAACTCATGTAAAATGGGCCACTCCTTGCAAACTTAAACCTATATCGAGTGCTGGAACATGGAAAATCTCACAGCTGTCAACAAGATGTGTTCACAATACTTGTTCCCAGTTGTTGACAAGTCTGTATCTTGTAACAAGGTTGATGAGGACAACAGACTTTCAATAAGTTGTTCCAACAAGCCTAATATCATCTGCACATAACAAGTTGATGACAACAAGCTTGTAGCAATTTGTCCTATACGGCTATATCATAGTCTTTGTGATGTCATACTGGCTGCCTGGCTGGGAGAGTACGTACAGTAATAGAAAACGTTACGACAGAACCCACCTATAAAATTGCATCAGTGCTCCAGTGATTAGCATACCACCAGGAACTTGAAATGACATTCGTCCAAAGATATTCATCTTGTCGCCTGAGTCAGGGTGGAATGCAGATTCATAAAGAGTCTTTGCATCCCATACTTGTTCCGCTGTTGTTCCTGGAGGCTCTTTCTTCTCCCTTAAATGTTAAAATACAACATTTTCTTGCTAGTATACTTAATATTGGCAGAAACAATAGACTGACTTGAGTGGTTGAAAATTTTTTGCCTCAGATTTTACATATGCAGTGTATGCTTTGCATCAACCAATTAAGCAGCACTGCACCCACATGCACCTGACTCCATTAATTATTTTACTCTGTTGAATGGCAGATGATTTCACTCATCAGAGGAAATGCGCAATAATGGGTTAACCATTTCTATCTGTCAATTGTGTCTTGATAACCCATTAAGTTGCATTACCCATCAATGTACCCTACTGTCTAATACCAGATGATTTTCATCTTCAAGGAGGTTTTGTGCATTTAATGGTTAAGTCAAATTATTAACCACAATGAGCTCTGATACTCAATAACTTGTCTAATGCTTCACAAATAACCAGAACGTCTGCCCATTATCTCTTGAACTCTAACAAGTCTTACTCAATCTAATGCCAAATGATTGTACCCATCAACAGGGAAAGCACTGGGCTTTAAAGAGCAAGTTAATTAATTACAATCAACAAGTCACATGTGTAAATGGTAACCCACCTAATGAAATCATCACCTCGCTAACAAAACCAAATCAAACAAATATTTCCATCAGTTAATCATTCACTCACTCAATTGTTCAATCAATTAGTCAATTAATTAGCAGGCACGGATTTTCTGGGGGGTGTGTACCCCTCAGAAATGATTTGCACCCCCCAAGAGGCATTTGGCACCACCCCCAAAAGTTTTTGCACCCCTGCAAATTATATATATTTTGATTTGATAGTTTCATATTTGATTATTCTAACTACTAAATTTGTAAAATTACCAATATTATGGTCTCAGATCTCCCTAGAAAACAGATTTTGTTAAACTTTTCCCTTGGCTTTTCTGGGCATTGCCACCACGCCCCGGCCAAAGCAAACAGCACCCCCCCCCCAGATATTTATCCACCTCCCCCAAACGAAAATATGAAAATCCGTCTCTGTTAATTAGCCAATCAATTTTATACTGTAACAATCAAATTTATAGTAACAGTCTTAGAACAGAATCATCTGTCCAATTAATCATCCCATTTATATACTATATCATTAATTAATCATCCAATTATCAACTAATTAATCAATATCAATAAATTCATTAGTTAATCATTAACTCCCAACTAATCAACTTAAATATGTAATAATATCAATCATGAAGAATTTTTGTTCAACCTGTATAACTTAAGCAGGTTTTGTGCTTCATTCAGTTCTTTATCAGACTTCAAGGAAAGCAACATGTCGGTGATCCCTGCAAAATGTTTGAAGCGGCCGGAAAATGTACTTTGATCCCATCTGTGCGAATCAAGGTCTACCCGTTTTGGTTCGTCTTCGACACCTGGTGCTGTGCTCATCTATACAACAAAATAAGCCTTTAGTTAGTCAATTTCATCTGAAAATAGACCTTTGCTAAATAAACGCTGATCGGTGAAATGTTAATTACGGAGAGGTCGTTGAGAGAACAGATTTGCAAAATAATGAAAAGACAAGATCAACACTCCTCATGGAAGAAATTGGTGTAACCTGGGAGCTGGGGAAAGATCTATTTCTGATAAGAATAAAATGTAGTAAGGTATCCAGAAGAAGCTAACCTCCCATTTCATCCGTGGATCGAGGAGGTGTGGATGTTTGAATAGTTTAGGGAATAATCCAGATATGGATAATTCCAATCGCAAACAAGCTTTTGTTGGCAGGGATGCAACTGCCTGAAAAATACAAAGCGAAATTTGACGTTTTGAGTGAAGGCCCTTTCGAATTTTGCTTTGTATTTTTCAGGTAGTTGTATCCCTTTGCTCAAAACATCAAATGTTGCTTTGTATTTTTTAGGTCGTGGCATCCACACCAACGAAAGCTTGTTCATATTATTGGCACTACCTACTACACTGGCACCAACTGTTCACAATTCCAATCACTTGGTTGTGAGTGGACAGGCTACTGTTTTGCTAAGTGCTATTTAACCCATTAAGCTGCAGAGCTTCCCCATTGACGAGTAAAACGTCTGGCGTTAGACAAGTAAAAAAAAACAAGTAGGGCACATTGCATTCTCGTACCCAGAGCCCTTCTCACACGCGGTGCGACGAGGGGCTCTGGCCAAATCCATAACCGGATACCATAAAAACATGGTAAGAAAACAATGTCCGGTGTTAGAACTAGCCAATCAGATGCCAGTTCGGATATGGATTTGGCCAGAGCCCCTCGTCGCACCGCGCATAAGAAAGGCTCTGGGTACGAGAATGGGCGCATTGCGGTTCAATGGGTTAACTGGAGACATTGTCAGATTTTTTAGTTAACCCATTAAGCTGCAGAGCTTCCACATTGACAAGTAAATTCGTCTGGCGTTAGACAAGTAAAAAAAAAGTAGGGCGCACTGGGGCTCAATTAAATAAAGACCATATATTACGATTTTCATTTTACATAATAAATTATTTATCAAAAATGGGCAGGGGGGGGAGGTTCTTTGCTACATAGCCGTAGGGTACTAAAAACATTTGATTACAATGAACTAGCTCACTATTCAATCTATACACAGCTTCTCTGTATATATTACGCATACTTGCAAGGATTACGTTCTGATCTAGTGATCTTACATACTACTTTTAGCTAATAATGCCACGTGTTCTGTCGTGTTAGTACTGTTTACACATATGACATATCTGTGCTATACAAACACCGATTCGTTCAAAGGTTAATATATCCTAGATAAGAAAGTGAAAAATACAAAGTTACCTCTGTCAATTCTCTTGAATTTATTGACAAACTGCACGAATTCAAAATTTGGACCGGCAAAAAATTATTATGCAACTTTTACGAAATATTTTTAGAAGACCACCAGTTTCCAATCTCTTACGATTTAACACGCCCACGGCCACACCTCCCGTTTTTGATGGCAATTTGAAAAATATGAAAATTAATTAAAATGTAAATTAAAAATGTTCCTTAATTTTCGGAGTTACCGTTGTTTTGTATTTTGATCTTTATGTCATATGTGTGTTTCACTCTCGCAGTGGGTTCATGAGATGTTGCAGTTGCCATGCATGGTGATCAACCCGTGATCATTATGGTGATCATGGTGATGATTTTTCTGAGAAAAAATCTTTTCATTTTTAGTAGTCTTGTATTTGGTGGCCAGTAATTGTGATGTCTTGCTTTAAATTTAAATTTGATGTAGTATAAATTTGTGTTCATTTATTTATCAAAAAATTACCGGGGGAATACGGGGGGGGGGGAGTTTATTAATGCATAGTTAAATGTAAGAGCGCCAGCGCAGTGTGGTACAGCGGTTAACCGCAGATAATCATATGCGTCACAAAACAACATTCTTCCGGGCAAGATGGCGACTTGCAGTGGAAGAAAAATACTGCAATCAAGCCTTGATGGACGAATATTTCACTTCCTAAAGAACAACTTTTCCCATCAAGCTGCCCTAAAGGTAAAGACGTTACTTTATTTGCTTTTTGAAGTGTTAGATCCGAGGAAAATCGCCCATTTATTTGTTTTTCATATTGTAGTTTTATAGAAGGTATTTATTAAATACAACAAGGTTGAAGGTTCATGCTTCATTGAGGCCTGAGGGCCTCTGTCCAATATTATGATGGTTGAAAGTTTATAAAATTATGCCTTAAGATCCTAGGTTAAGTGAATATTACTGTATTTTTATTTCAACAAATGTGATTCAATTAGCTTTTGAAAAAAGGTAATTGATTATTGATACAATTCGTACAAATCATAAAATTAGAATAATATTGTTACATCTTACTACAATTATAAATTGTTCACCCCATGATTATTCATCTGACACTGGATCCCAATGTTTAACTGTTATTGTCTGACACAATATTTTACATGCATGCATACAACAGTCTTGTTGATTTAAACAATAAATTGTCTGCACTTGGCCTTGCCCATGCCTATTCACCTAACCTTGAGGCAAACAGCCCTGAGTATACCTGGTGTTGAAGCTGAAGTGACTGAGTTAGTACATACAAGACAAGTGTCTTAACCACTCAACTACTGAGGATTTGCTTGGAATCTACTGTTTGTTTGGTATGATTTATTAGCATGTCGAAAGAACAAGGAATCAAAATACTTCTGTGAGATGAATAGAATCTAAATATTGGGATCAGTTATCAGATGCATAACCACTGTGTTAATTAATTGTTTTGATAGAATCATGGAAGGATAATTTCAAGTCACACGATTAAAAGGAACTTTTCATCAGAGGAAGAAGCTGGCAAAGTATGTCATGGTCTATAGATACAAACCAAAATTTATTTCATTCTGCATTGAGAAGTCCAAATATTTATTTGTTTTTAAAATAATTTAGCCATCCAATCGCATTGGTGGCAAGCACACCCTAACAATGATACCAGGTGATGGTGTAGGTCCAGAACTTTGTGAATCTGTCAAGATGGTGTTTGCTGCTGCTGGTGTCCCAGTTGAGTGGAATGAAATTGCTGTTAGGTAATGGTATAATATGCAAATAAAAAAGAGATGAATTATATGGGATATATAATACATTTCTTTTGTTGGTACCACCAGAAATCTTGAGTATTATTTAAAGAATAACTGATACCAATTGCATAGAATAGCTAGGTCTCTTAGACACCAGTCTACATAACAAAAATTAAACATACATTAAGTGTTTTATATCTTTATAATTTCATCTTACAGTGATATTGGAAGTTATGGGAGCAAGCATTCATTACTAGATGTTGCAGATTCTTTGAAGAAAACAGGAGTGGCCATCAAAGGTTTTGTAAAGCAAAGCGAATTATATAGAGTATGGAATGAGCCACTAGGGAATGCATATTCTTTTGCAGAACGAAGAGCTTGGAAATGTGGTTGTGTTACGCAATCTCCAGCATGCAAACGTCCAATTGATCCATCAAAGTAATGGTTTAACCCACTGAGCACCAGCGCTTTCCTCTTGACAAGTAAAATTGTCTGGTGTTAGACAGAATTGCCAGGGGTTACAAGTGAAGTAATCATTGTAGAAAAAGATAAAATAGGTTTCTTTTATCTTCAAATATCTATGTATCGAGTTAGATTGATAGATGTTGTCATCTTTATGTTGTTGTTAACAGTAAGGGCAAAATAATAAAGTAGGGCACATTGGAGTGCAAAGCAACATAATGGATTAATCATTCAAATAATAAAAGTACTAATTATTTATCAATCAGAATCAACAACCCATTTCAGGGCTGTACACAGGGGTGACAGGGGCGCAACTGTCCCCCTAGAGAAAAGTATATTTACGATTTTTAGAATGTCATTAATTATTCTTTGCATATTTGGGACTTTTTTCGGCATATAAGCCTTACTGCCCCCCCTTGTGAAAAAATCCTGCATACGGCCCTGGCCCATTTATTATTAATTACTGAAACGACCGCACATGGCCATCTTTTCAAATGAATCCTCTATTGTTTGGTTTATCATAATTATATAAATGGTGGTATAAATAATAATATCTTCTACAAGATATGGAAGCAAAAACAACCATTGAAGCATATTCTGTGCCACAGGTGCATTGACCACTCCAACAAGTATCAACAGTCAGGACATTCTTTCTCTTAATCAGAAAATGAAGTAAGTGGAATTAGTTTTGAAATTATGTAGAACATATACAGTATGTTTGTGTACACCTGAAATTTAAATACAAGGAGAAATTCTCCTTGTATTTTTCAGGTAGTTGTATCCCTGCCAACTAAAGCTTGTTAGAAATTAGTATATTAAAAGAGAGACTATGTGAAATATCATTTCTTGATATCAATTATAGAATCGACTTGGATTTATTTGCCAATGTTGTCCAGTGTAAGTCCTTTGCTGGATTTAAAACGAGGTTAGAAACATGGCTGTTATATTTTTGCAATTCGATATATTTGAGGTGAACTTCAATACCCTGTCTGCTTGTGATTTTATTTCTCAGACATAACAACATTGATGTGATCATTGTCAGAGAACAAACAGAAGGAGAGTACACAAGTTTGGAACACGAAGTAAGACACATCTCATCTCATTCCGTGTTTGCAATGTTGCAAATTATGAGGAAATGGTGAACATTTTCATTCTCCACGTTTCGACTATTACTGTACTTTGAAGTCATCTTCAGCCAGTGGCGGCGCCAGGGGGGGCAAATGCCCCCCCAAAATTATTTTTTGCCCCCCCATTTTGCCCCCCCCCCTCAAAAAAAATTATTAATCACTCAGAGCGACTAAAGGCTACACAAGCGTTCTGTCGTTATCGGAAAATGTATGGCTTATAAGTTGTCATTACTCATTAGTGAATGCGCGTATACATGAAAC